CTTTCCTGCGTCTCCTGTAGAATGCCTGGCAGACTCTTCTGTGAAGAAGCTGGACATGATGGAAAATACTTACAATCCCAGGGACGGGGAGCAGACATGAGGGGTTCTCTAGGGTTTGTTGGCCAGCTAGCTTAGACTAACTTGTCGAGTTTTAGGCCAGTGAAAGATCTTGTGTCAAAACAAAACAAAAAAGAGTGGATGATACCTGAGAAATAATATTTAACACACACACACACACACACACACACACACACACACACACACAGTGGGGAGGGGCAGGACACAGAGAGAGTACACGAGAAACAGAGACTAAAGGTCCACCTATCTCCTTTAAGGGCAAGTCCACATGGCAGGGGTTAACAGAAGGCAGCCTCTTTTCAACGCTTTAGGACTCACACAGCTGGCAGGCCCAGCCTGAGCAGGCCTGTTGTCAGAAGGCCCAGTTCTCATCTCCACCCTCAGAGGCCTGCCAAGCCTCCCTCTCCGGGTTAGGCCACCCTGACCTCCATCTGTGGGCAAAAGAGAAGGACACGAGCAACTCAAGAAGCCGCTGCTCTTGGACGCCAGGACTTCAGCTCCTGGAGACGACGATGACCCTGAAGCAGAAGCCGCTGGAGTGTTTTTGAATCATCTTCCACAACAAAAACCTTCCACAGAATCGTGGCAACTGAGTCCATTTCATTGTCTGGATTCCAAGTCTTTGAAAAATCCACAAGCTCCAAAAGACCAGCTGTGTAGGGAGAGGTGGAGAGAGGCGAAAGGAGCCTGTGCTGGCACTGGATGGGGTCGAAGATTGGGTCTCACCCCATCAAAGAGCAGTATTGGGCAAAAGGAGTTGAAAGGTCACACTGGCTTTTATCAGGGATCCTTAAAGGGGGGTGTCTGTGAAAAGGGCTCCAGGGAGCGAAGTATGGGCAGGCAGTGGGTGTCAGGAGAGGAACACAGACCAAGACTAACCAGGGGCTACCGCTCAAAGTCGCTCTTCTTACAGGGAAAACAAGGACCTGATCATGCCAGCCCAGACAGACTGGAAGCGCTACCTACCCATTGCTATGACTCCCCATATTTTAGGGAACACTGGTGGCCTGCAGAGTTCAGCTGAATCACCTGACCTAGCACGGGGTTGCCATTTCAGGTTTGGTCTGATTTGTAGGGTTTTCTGTAGTTGGAGTTTTTTTGGTCCTGCCTGGCCCATGGTCAGGACAAATCTCTCTGACCTGCCAGTCTTGCAGCAGCTCAGACCCAACCAAGTAAACACAGAGACTTATATTGCTTACAAACTGTATGGCCATGGCAGGCTTCTTGGTAACTGTTCTTATATCTTAAATCAACCCATTTCCATAAATCTGTGCCTTGTCACATGGCTCATGGCTTACCAGTATCTTACATGTTGGTGCTCATGGCGGTGGCTGGCAGCATCTCTCGACTCAGCCTTCCTGTTCCCAGAATTCTCTTGGACAAAAAAAGAAAAGGGGAAGTGCCGTGGGATGTTCTGTATGTCAAATGTGTTGCTCTGATTGGTTAATGAATAGAACACTGATTGGCCAGTGACCAGGTGGAAAGTATGGATGGGATGGGTAGAGAGGAGAGTTCAGGGAGGTAAAGGGCTGAGACAAAGGGACACTGCCAGCTGCTGCCATGACAAGGAAGATGTAAGGTACCGGTAAGCCACGAGCCACGTGGCAAAGTATAGATTAATAGAAATGGGTTAATT